AGGGTTCGAAACGAAACGCGAAGGTATGTTTCAATCGATTTTCTGTGTAGATCTATGTGGTGTTAGAGTCATTTAGGTTGGTTGACCTTCTGATTTTGGTGATGAGATTTCGGTTAAAAAAAATGAAAACTTTCTTCTGTGAATCATAATAGGGTTCCATAAATTCGAGAATTTGGTTTGCGATTTGGTAGAGTTTTGGTTTGCTACTAATCTGGTGAAATATGGATTTAGATGTTTTTAGTGAACTGACTTGTGAAATCTGGGTTTTTGGAAGGACGAATTAATGGAGTTCGATCTGCTTTGGTTGCTTACTTTTGACTATGACTTGGCATAGAGATTGCTCTATGTGCGTTTTTTTTAATGTTTGTGTATATACAAAAATATTATGAGCACATTGTCTTATGTTTAAGTTTTGATAATGGTTCTGTTCTCATTATCTTTGATGAGGTCTGCATTATGCGTTTACTCATATTCAGATATTTGGACTTATTGGTATAATCTTATAGCTCATTTTTATGAGAAAATGACTCCTTTGTGAGGTATTTCTTCTATGAAATACATTTGTTACATTTGGCTTCTGAGCTAAATTTATTTTTAGTTTCATTTTTGTTTCGTGTACTGGTTTAGGAGTAGAGCATAACAGAAGGGAGCAAGTGCGTAAAGCTAAGGGTAGAACATAATACATTTGTTACATTTAAAACAAAATCTCTTTTAATTATGTTTTTTTCTGAGAATTTGAGCTGATGGTTTTTAGTTGCTATTACAGGCTGAGCTTGCCACTGCAAGTGTGTTTGAGGCGATTGAAGAAGAAGATCAAGTGATTGAGAATAACGAAGGGCTTTCTCCAGCTTTGTTAAGTAGCTGCAGTGATCGTGCAAGGGATCTTCATGCTTCTCCTTCAGGTTTTTTTCACAAGTTATATCAAGGAAGAGAATATTGATGCTGTTTTAGAAATTAGGCGTAGATTTGTAGAAGCTGATATCCCTATGGACTTGGTTATGTGCAACATTCTCCTGAAAGCATTTCTATTAGTGGGTGCATATGGAGAAGCTGACGTNCTTTACAGGGCAATGCCAGAAATGGATCTGACTCCAGACACGGTCACGTATTCAACATTGATTGAGAGGTGTTGCAAAACAGATCGAAACATCAGGCTGAGTACTTTGAGGAAAAACGTAATCTGGTAA